TAGGGAGGAATTGCTCACACCCAGGGAAGGGAACCCTTAATCCTACTATGGAAACATGGATTAATGTCAGCATCAACTACTTGATCTCAGCATCATATACCCTAGATCCAGTCACCTCTAGAAAGCCCCAGCTGTGACCACATGAGGCTTGAGGGACATCTAGATACTGGCCATTACACTGGGGGATACAATAATAAAAGGGTCACAAGGCAACCTTGGCAATGAACATTATGCAGGGGATTCTCCATGAGTGAGGGCTGAATCAATAGCAGGACAATGGATGAATATTTGCATGAGTATGTATATGTGGCAGCAGAGGCAGGCCTGCATGCACTCAGGCCCACCCTTCTCTCCTACACACAGGGCGTTACAGCTCTGCGTGCTCCTCCTTAGCTCCCTTCAGCTCCTGGATCTTCTGCGGGAGGGTCTCCGTCCAGAACTTCAGTCTGGAGGCCTTCAGGGCACGGCCCACGGTAGGCTCAATGTCCAGCTGCAGGTACTGCTCCTCACTGTAATGCAGGCCAGTGGGGCAGGCCCTCACCATTGGGGTTCCTGTGAAGATACCCTCCCCAGAGGGGGTGAGAGGTCAGTCTGCGCCTAGGTGAGCACCATCAGAATGTCTTAATTTATATCAGGACCAGTGCCTAAGCTGGCAAGTGTGCAAATAAGGGGGACATTTCCTGATACAGAGAACAAGAACATTGCAGTAGTGTCCCCTCCCTGTGAGACAGGGCTCTGGTCCTGTTTTGTCCATCCCTCTTAGAGGCCGGCTGTGACTGAACCACAGCAGTATCGCCCACCACACCCCACACACAGGTCACTAGGACACAAATGAGTGATCTGTACTGGCAATACCCCTCTCTGTGTCCCCATAAATCTTGGCCTTGCCATGGAGTTAACACATGATTTAAGAACACACATAAGCTAACAAAGGCCCCACAGATAAGAGGTGCACTTGATGGTTTCACATACCCTGTGAAGACTGAGGTAGGGGGTATCAGCTCACCCATTTCGTGCAAAGTTGGCCCAATACTTCATCATCCTCCTGTGTAGTAGCTCCTCTTCCTCAGTAAACACAGCTGCACAGAGAAGACAAAGGCCCAGGTCTTGCATGGATGTTCATCACACTTACCCTTCTGCGTACTCATGTACCACTCTCTTCACTCATCTACACTCTGACCGTGGACACGAGGCCCTCCCCTTGCCCAACCTTTCTCTTGCCATTCTCTAGTCGTCCTGACCAGGGCTCAGTGCTGGACTATAAGGTCCCTTCTTCCTTTCACTCTGGTAAATCATTTTAAAAAAGCAAGTATGCTATAAGATGGTCCCTCCTGCCCTTGTCACCCCTGCTGAAACCATGATCAGGATGGGGACAGATGGAGGAGGGAGCACTGAGTGGAGTGCAAGGCCTTGGATTCTCATCCCAGTACAGTCTCTTAAAGTGCAAGATACTGAACACTGTTCCTGTCCTCTCTCTGGGACCCGACTTCCTTATCTGGACTGTGGATCAAATCACAACTCAGGGACCTGACTAGAGCCCCATCCTTGCTCCTGGACATCAAGGAGACTCACCTTTCTTACCCCACAAGAAGTATCCAAAGACAAAAGGAATCTCATCAGCATGGTCAGCCTTCACATGGGGTGGCCTGATGTTTTTCAGGAAGCTGGGAGGATGCTTGAATTCATAGAAATAGACAGTGCCACGGGAACCTGAGGAGGTGAACAGCTGTGACTGGGTGACCTCTTAACTGCACTTCTTCTGCTTCTCTTTACTGATAAGACACCTAAGTCCAAAGTTGACTGGAATCTGAAGCAGTGTGGTAAAGAGCCTCAGTTTACAGCAGGAACCATGGGGAGGGACTTCGGTAATTCATGACCATGGACTTCCCAGCTGAGCAGTTTGCGTATCTCATTGAATATCACTCTCCTCACTATGTCCACTTGTATAATGAGAAAGATTATACATAAAGCATAAAAATCATTTTACTGCATATTACTTAAACCAACTCATGGTGTCAATTTAGCATATTTGTACCTGCATGGAATATAGTCATCTATCACATTCCCTTTCTTCCTCCTCCTGCTTTTCTTCATTCTCTCTACTAGTCTTCTTTCTTTCATATCTCTCATTTTTCTCCATAATTCTACAATGCAGGAAATATGTGATATGGGACATTCTGTGCCTGGCTCGCTGCACTTAACAAAATTATCTGCAGTTCCATCCACTTCCTTGTAAATGATGTGAGTTCATTTTACCTTAGGGATGTGCAATATTCTATTGCATGTAAACACTTTCCTTATCTGTTCATTTTTTTATGGACACGTTGGGTATACCATAATAACTAGCTATTAATAAAGTACTGTAATAAATATTACAGTTAGGCTAAGCTGGACTCTCTGTAGTATGCTCACTTTAATTTTTGCAGAATATATTAGAGTTTTATACCTGGATCAAATTGTAACCCTAGTTTTAGGTTTTGGTGGAACCTCACAATGATTTCCATAATGGCTACACTAATTTTATTTCCACCAATGTTAGAGTCTTCTATATTCCCCACATCCTTAATCTTCATCAGTATTTCTTGGATTTCACATTCCTAAGGTCACAGGCAGTGTTCTTTTTCTGTACGTGTGTGTGTGTGTGTGTGTGTGTGTGTGTGTGTGTGGTACTGGGACTTGAACCAGTAGCTTTCACTGAGCTACATTTCCAATCCCTTTTTTCATTTTTTTGATCTAACACATGATCTCATGAATTCACTAAGTTGTCCAAATCAGGCTGAAATCCACAATACTCCTGCCTCAGCCTCCCAGCACACTGGAATTACAAGAGAAAAAGATCTTTTCTCATATGTATATCCATTTCTCCCTGCATGATTGTCAAAACATATATTTTGCCTTCTTTCCAAACACTCATATAGACGTAGTTGTTTGTCTTTGTTTATGGTGTTTCCTATTCTAGTCCATTGGTCTGTGGATCTATGTTGCATCATTACCATACTCCTTTTGTTACTATGGCTTTGTATATATTAAATCAGGAATTGTGACCCTCCAGAGTTACTCTTCTTGCTTGAGAATTAACCACAAAGATTTACTGACATGAGAGACATCAAGTGTCTGGCACCAGAGGCTCAATAATTGGGGATCAGATGTAGGCTCTACAGACTTCAAGAGGGACTCTGTTCTGAGCTCCTGCCAAGGCAGTGAGAGCTCAGTTACAGATGTACTCACGATGAAAATGTGCTACTTTCAGCGCAGGAATCACAAACATGGAATCTGCCATCATCTCATGGAACTGGAGTTGAAGGGT